CTACCCGAAGAACACAACCCAGAATCTAGTTGAATTTTCATCAGATTCTGGAAAATAACATCGAAAACTTCAAAGTTGGCCAAAAAACTCGTTGAAAAATTTAAGGTTCACCAAAAAATTTCACCGAATTTTGAAAAATTTCTAGAAATTTTCCAGAAAAAAACTTCAAAAATTTTAAAAAAAATTCTCACAAATTCCTAAAGCTATATCTAACATACCAAAACCTTTTTAGCTTCTGTTTTCTCTCTGTGTGTGTTTTTTTGTGTCCCCTTGGATTCTGTTTCAACACCTATTTATAAGATTAATCAGAAGAGTTTCTGATCAATCCCAATTTCCTCTGAGATTTGGATTCAATCTTTTAATCCAATCCCAACTCTACCAGTCTTCTGATTTACGGTCAAATTCCCTTTTAGAACTAAGAATTATAATTAAAACAGAATTCAGACCGGATAAACCAACAAAAAAAAGAATAATAATACAATAATAATAATAATAATCGTAATAGATAAATATACATTGATAGATAAATATAAAAAATATTAATAGATAAATAAAAATAATAATAATAGATAAATATAAAAAATATACATTAATAGATAAATAATAAAAACGTATATATATTAATAGATAAATAAAAAAGATTAATAGATAAATAATAAAAAATATATATTTATAAATAAATAAAAATGCAAATGGGCTTACCCATTTGGACCGGGCCTAATTAATCTGGGCCTGGACCAAATTGGGTGTCTACACTTATCAATATAAAATTTGTCAATTTTTCAAACACACTCGTAATCCATATCCAAGTCAGCCATACAAATCAACTCATCATTTTTCTATGATTCATAGTGATGTTTGAGGACCATCAAGGGTTAATAATATTACAGGCTCTAAATGGTTTGTTACCTTCATTGATGATCACACTAGAGTTACATGGCTATTTCTCATGAAAGACAAGTAAGAAGTTAGTTCAATATTTCAAAATTTCAACAAGATAGTGGAAACTAAATTTCAAGCAAAAATTCAAGTGTTTAGAATAGATAATGGGCGAGAATGCTATCACTTAATTCTTAGATCTTACTTGTTAGATCAAGGAATTATTCATCAGAGCTTATGTATTAAAACTCCTCAACAAAATAGAGTTGCCGAGAGGATGAATAGATACCTAATAGAAGTTACAAGATCGATTAAATTAGCCTTTCATGTCCCAAAATATTTTTAGGAAAAGGCAATCCTGATAGCATCTTTTCTTATTAATAAGATGCCTTATCGAGTACTAAAATTCCAAAATCCTTCGTCAAACACTTCTCAAAACCTACCCTCATGTCTAAATCATTTTTTCAATATCAGGTAAAATATTCGAATGTACTACCTTGATTGATATACACCAACAACAGTGTAATAAACTAGACCTTAGATAACTCAGATGTATATTTCTTGGCTATTCACCTAACCAAAAAGGCTACAGATATTATTCACCAACTACCAGAAAGTTTTACACTTTTATAAATGTCACCTTCTTTGAGAATCAATCATTTCATCCCAAAGCTGATATTCAGGGGGAGAGTTATATGGAATATCAAATTTAAGAGATTAAGCCATCATCTGATACTTCTTCTACTTGTTTGCCAATTCAAATTCTTATTTCAAATAATTATTATTCTTTTTTTTAGTCAATTAATCATCCTAAGTCTCTAAAATCTCTTAAAACTCTACAAGAAACAAGAGTTAAGAAATGATTGTATATTTAAGAATATCGAAATCTAAAAAAGATATAGGGATCTGTACATCTCTAACATAAAACCAAGATTTTAAACCAAATCTAAGAATTTTTTAAATTCATACAGCTAACATAATTATTGAACCTATCTTTAATGATTTTTTTAGTCATCTTGATCAGCCCATTGCTATAAAAAAAGTACGAGATCATGCATTCAATATCCTATTAGTAACTTTGTTTCCTATGAAGGATTGTTTCTTACTTACCGAGCACTAGTTACATCATTAACTGATGTTCATATACCGAATACCATCAAAGAAGTGCTCAAACAACCAAAGTGAAAAGCTGTGGTAATGGAAGAAATGCAAGTAATAAAAAAAATGACACATGAAAAATTACTGATCTCTTTGGAGGAAACAGCCCAGTGGGATGTAAATAGATTTTTACTATCAAACATAATAGAGACGAAAATGTGAACATATTCAAAGCTCATCTTGTGGCTAAGGGGTTTACTCAGTCTTACAAGATTGATTATAAGGAGACGTTTGCTACTGTAGCAAAATTGAATTTTGTCTATGTGTTACTATCACTTGCTACAAACCTAGATTGACATATTCATCAATTATATATCAAAAATGCATTTTTGAATAGTGATATGGTACAAGAGGCTTACATGAAGATTTTTTCAAGGTTTGACAACCAAGACAACATCAGCAAGGTGTGTAAGATTCATAAATCCTTATATGGCCTCAAACAATCTCCTCGCACTTGGTTTGATTGTTTGATTAAGGTTTTTAAAAAGAATGGGTTCTTACAATGCCAATATGACCACACTATGTTTGTCAAACATTCACCAAATAGTAAGATTGCTATTACGATTGTTTATGTTGACGAAATTATCCCCACAAGAGATTATGAAGAGTAAATAGTTGGATTGAATACTTTTTTAGCTAAAGAGTTTGAAATGAAGGACTTGGGACAACTTCGATATGTTCTTGGCATAGATGTAGCTCAATCAAGAAATAGTATTTCTATTTCACAACGAAAATATATACTTGATCTTTTCAAAGAGACAGAGATGCTCGGGTGTAAACCATTGGATACTCTGATGGACCTAAATGTCAAGATAGGAACCAGAGATGAAAGCTCTCTTATAGACCAAAACAGATACCAGAGACTTTTCAAAAAATTAATTTATTTGGTGCACACTAGATCTGACATTGGCTTCTCTGTAAGTATGATGAATAGATTTATGAACAATCCTACAAAAACACACATGGATGCAATATATAGGATCCTTCAATACTTGAAAAAAATCCAAGCAAAGGGTTGCACTTTAGAAAAACACTAACTAGAAATATGGAGATTTTCTTAGATGCAGATTGTGCTAGTTTTGTAATAGATCGAAGGTCAACTACAAGGTATTATGTATATGTGTGGGGCAACTTGGTCACTTGAAAGAGCAAGAAACAAGTAGTGGTAGCTCGAAGTAGTGCTAAAGCTAAATTTAGGGCTATGTCTCACGGGATTTATGAAAGAATTTGGCTTGAGAGAATGCTACAGGAACTGAAAAAGTCAATTGGAAATTCAATGAAATTGTTTTGTGATAATAAAACAACTATTAACATTGCCAAGAACCCTGTTCATCATGATCAAATGAAACTTGTATAGATTGATCGCCACTTCATCAAAGAGAAGATTGAAGAAAGCACAATCAAACTAGTCTATGCTCTAACAGAATATCATATAGCTGACAACCTCACCAAGGCTCTTCATCGTGACAATTTCGAGAATTTAAGGTTCAAGTTAGATATAATTGATATCTGCCACCCAACTTGAGGTAAAGTAGAAAAACCGATTCCTAATCAAATTTGATTAAATATCATTCATTTAGTATTTTAATTTTTTTCTAAATAAAAAGGATTTGGTTCATTGATTAAATTTCCACTTTATAGTTTTCATTTATTGTTAGACAATTTTTAGTTGATTTGCTATTATTTCTAAGATATCATGGGATTTGTCAGATTTGATGTTTTAGTTATATATATATATATATATATATATACTCTTTTACTATAAAAAATTTCTTAAAAATTCATAAATTAAATTCTCATGAATTTTTTCATAAAAATTCAACAATCATTCATATTTTAATTAGATTTAATTATTTATATATTTTTATTTATTTTGTATTTATTATATATAAAATATAAAAATCTTTTTATTACAATTTATATTTATAAATCAAATATCAAATATTTTTTTATTTTTATTACTTTTATATATAATTTTTATTAAAACTTTAAATTATATTATTTGAATTTTTACATCATTTTTATATCATATCATTGTATTATATTTAAAATTATCAAATTTATATTATGAGTGCATATAAACTATATTCTGAGTGCAACTTAAACCTAAATTTTAGCTTAAAACAGGACTGTAATTAACAAGATTGTAACTAGATCATTGAATGAAGTATTTTTATGTTCCTGTCTCAGGCAATTCTTGATCTTTCCTTGAAAAGGTAGTTGATGGACACTGCTCAAGCATTGATTGCATAATAATAGGAATTGGGTTGGATTTTGATTACCAAAAGCTGCATTGATCTATTTTTGTAATGGATTTCTAATCTCATTTTCACCGAACAATTATGCTTTTAACTTGTACTAAAAAAATACCCCAAAATAAAAAATATATAATAGTGATTTTTTCTAACCAGAGCCGTCCAAATCATCTTTTAGCCCAAAAAATACCCCAAAATAAAAAATATATAATACTGATTTTTTTTAACCAGAGCCATCCAAATCATGTTTTAGCCCAACAATAAATAGGAGAGCTTCACATTGTCTGTTTGTAGTTGACCATGGAACCCACGTGCTCACATTGGCAAGTGGGGCCAAATTCCAGTGCTTCTTTTCGGCATCCTTTAACCTCGCACTTTGGAAGCTATTATTTAGGTGCTGCCACTTTTTCCTTGCTTTTTCTGGTCCACCAGAAACTAGAAGGGAAGGAGATGGTCACTTTTGAAAGCAAGAAGGGAAAAAAAACCCACAACCAAAGTGTTTTTTGACATTGGTTTTTTGGATAAGTACTTAGATTAGATACCCTTCTCCACTTTCCTCTTCTTTCTCCCATTTTAAGGCTTTTTTTTTATTCTATGAACTTATCATAATAATTTTGTTTGTTTTTTATATTATTTCATGGAGCGTTAAAAAAAAAAAAAAGATTTTAGAGGATAAGGGTGGAAGGAAGGAAAAAGAAACTTGTGGAGCATATGGTGTTTTTGTGTTAGTGAAAAGGAAAGATTTTGTTTTGAGCATTGTTTTTTGGCTCAAATATGAGGTGGGTTTGAGTTATTTTTGGCTGTTTTGGGTTTTCAAGTATGGTTTTTGAGTGCAGTTATATGATCTGTGGGGTGTTAGAAAGCAAAGAGAGGAGTTGGTTTTGGGAGCATAACCATTTGAAGATGTCTTGGGTTCATCACTATCATCAAATCAAGCAAAAAGATGGTTACTTACGATATCAACCTCCTCTTCCTCCATCTCCTTATACTGCGACTACTTTTCATAAAGATTCAAACCCTTCACCATCATTTTCTGGTACTAGAATTAGTCCTGCAGTACTTCTAATTATAGTAATCTTGGCTGTACTATTTTTCCTCTCTGGTCTCCTACATCTGCTTGTTAGATTCCTTATAAAGCATCCATCTTCATCTACATCTTCTCAATCTAATAGATACCCTGAAATGTCTAACTCTGATGCCCTTCAAAGGCAGCTACAACAACTGTTTCATCTTCATGATTCTGGTTTAGATCAAGCTTTTATTGATGCTTTTCCTGTTTTCCAATACAGAGAAATAGTTGGTCTGAAAGAGCCTTTTGACTGTGCTGTTTGTTTATGTGAATTTTCTGAGAAAGATAAGCTGAGATTGCTTCCTAACTGTGGCCATGCTTTTCATATAAATTGTATAGACATTTGGCTGTTGTCAAACTCAACATGCCCTCTTTGTAGAGGGAGTCTTTTCGGTCCTGGGTTTTCAATGGAGAATCCAATTTTTTATTTTGATGACATAAGGGAAGATGATGGATGTGCTGGTATTGGGGAAAATGGATATACTCCTGGTCAGAAAATAGTGGAAATGGAAGAAATTGTGGTAGACAAAGGGGTTTTGCCCGTGAGGCTAGGTAAATTCAGGAGGCTAAATGATGGACCAGGGGATGCAGGAGGAGAAACCAGTAGCAGCAATTTAGATGCAAGAAGGTGTTTTTCTATGGGTTCATATCAGTATGTGCTAGGTGATTCAGATCTTAGGGTTGCCCTTGCTAATGAACGTAGCGGTGGCCATGATATTAAGCTATCAAAAGGTTTGGAGCAGAATGGGAATTCTTCAGTTGAAAGGGATGCAGAAGGGAAAAAGATTAGTAGTGTGACTAAAGGGGAGAGCTTTTCTGTTTCCAAGATCTGGCTTTGGTCTAAGAAAGGCAAAATTTCGACTTCTTCTCTTAATACAGACTATCCATGGTTGGAGAAAACACAAGGAAAATGAAAGGTAATTTGGTAGTTTCTTGTTTAGTCATTATTCAATTCTTCTGCTTAGCTCCTCTTTTTGAAAATCTTTTGAGATGCTAATTTGAAGATTGTGATGATTGGCTGTGACATACTATTGTTCTGAAACCTGATAGTCTAAAATTACTTACAGAGGTAATCTCCTGTTGTTTGGAGACAGACAGACTATATATTGCTGTTGACTGTTTGCCTTCTTGTTCTATTTGGGCTACTGAACTCATGATGTCTTATTTCCGTGAAAGAAGGTGTTCATACAATATGTTCCATGCTTTTGCACATCTCAAGCAATCTAATCCATGTGATTCATCTATCTCATGTTGAAGGGCATGAATAGAAATGTTGCTGCTCAGCAATCTAATCCATCTGTTTGTATTTAGTTACAACACTATTTAAAATCATGTTTAATGGTTAGTTGATTTTGACTTTATTGTTGGGTACAAAGGAAGTCACAGCTTAGGGACAAGAGAAAGGGCTGCAAATGCTGGGATTTGAATCCCAGATCTGCTCAATACCATCTCTTAAAGTAACGCATGAATGAAACAGTAATTTTTTTTGGCATCATAACAGTTTTGTGTGGATAACCCCACAGGTTAAATTGACATTGAGAAGGTTATGGTTTATTAAAATTATATGATTTAGGTTGAAATGGTACTGCTTTTACCTTCCAGAAGTTTTTGAGTTTCACATCATGCCATTTTTCATTGTTCACCTTGGGTGTGGGTTAGTTGAAGGTTTCAACCTTCAAGGAATGATTCGATGAATGGGATGATGTCTCATAACTTCTGGAAATCATAATTCTCATTGAAGATGCAAAATTTTCATCCAATGTGACTGCCAAAGATAGGCAAATTTATGCCTCTTATTCGAGTCCCACACTTTCCCCCAACAAGCATATATTTATATAAACATGATCTAAGGCAGGAAGCTAGTACTTTTGCATTTCTTGGGTTGATGTGCTGTGGTTTTTCTTCTTATCCTTTTTATGATACTATGCACTCAATCTGTTGTGAAGAGAGTGATCTTTGTCTTTGGATGTGGGCGCTTGGGTAATTATGGTGGGATCCATGAAAGCAGTGTGACAGAAAAAACTTTACTTTTTCAATCTTGTGATCAGCCCTTTAATTCTCAAAATCTTGTTGGCTGGAGTAAGCAGCTAAACTGTGGGGGGTCATCTTTTTGTTCTTCCCATGGGGTTTTGTTGAAATCAAAAACAAATACTACTAATATGAAGCCTATGATAAAAATAAATATATTACCATCTCCTTTCAAACATTGTTAATGATTATTTTATGTAAATTTTTAGGGTCTTTTCTTGTTTAAAACATAGTGTACAATATTCTTTTTTAGAATATGCAGATGGTGGGTGGTGATTGTTGGAATTGTGATGTATTTTGCGAAGAATACCTATGTGAAAATGATCTTCAGCCCCACTTGAGGCAAGACTGTTCAGAAACGATAGTGTCATATCCAGAGATCCAAATTAAAAAAAAAAAAAAGGGGGGTCTCCAACCAATGAAAATAGATTAAAGTACTTTCATTGGTAGGCTCCAAAACCCTGCCCGTTTGAATCCTGTGAAGCTGTGAACTATTAATAACCTCCTCAGATCAGAATCATCATATCATGTGACAAGAATGAGGTACTTCTCGTCTCTTCTATGTGCCTAAAGGCTTGGTTTTGAAAGGGCTAAGCCTAATAAATGATCATTTCGATCGGTTCAATTTAAAAAAATTAATAATTAATTTAATCAATTTTTATTTAACAAATAATCGAATCGATCAAATATTATTAAATAATCGATCATAATCGAATCGATCAAAATCAGTTCGATCGGTTCGGTTAAATAATCAATTTTTTTATTATTTTTTTTATTATAAATAATTATTTAATTATAAATTTAATTCAATAAAATTCAAACTCTAATATCATTTAAACTAAATTATTAAAGAATTTAATAATTTTAATAATATTTTATCAAAAAAAATAAAAATAAAAATATTTATCTTAATTTTTTTATTTTTAATTATTAAAAAATTAATTAATTATCAGTACGATTATTAATTTGAAAAATCGAAAATCGATCGAATTAATTAATTTAATCGATTTAAAAAATTAATTATAATTAAAATCGAATAAATCGAATTGATTTAATCGAATTCATTCGATTTTGATCGATTTAATCAATTCAAATCGATTTTTACTCACCTGCCCATCCGACTCTCAATTTTTGGGTAATAACCAGATTTATGGTATATTGCACCAGTTCAGAAGTTGATTATGTTGCCTGCAATCATAAAGAGGTTGGGGATGTGTTAAAATCCTGAGGCCCAAAAGAGTCCATGAGAATCAGTGATTTGACAACTACCTGTACAGGATTCTTCAAAGACAGGATAAGAGAAATACAGCAGGAAAATGTGGAATGAAAATGATGAAAAAGGGAGAATAATTTGTAGTAGTGGATCGACAATCAAGTATTTTGTACACTCATAAACCAGTTCTTTCCTGTTAAAAAGGTTTATTTCATGTTCTCCTTTTGCAAAGCAATAGCCTGGAACAGGAGCTCTTGCTAACATGCTTGTTAGTTTGCAAGCTTTGTCACTACTGAAAATGGAGGAAGAAATCCCAATGGGGATTGGGATTTGCAGTACTAAGAGGAAATCAGCTACCAATAAACCTGTGACTCGTTTACATTTAGCATCTCATTCTAATGTATGTTGATACAAATGGTCCCCCATGAAATGACTTTCCTGCAATCACCATGATATTCACTCATAATCTTACCAAATCAAACACTACAAAAAGGGGACTCCAATTAGTGAAACAGGCAATGTCATTTCATGAATGACATTTTCTTTTCTCAAATTTGAAGGCTGTAATCTTAACAATGTTAGAAGGGCAGCTAATTGACAAACATTGAAACAAAGTAAGACATACAATACAAGTTACAATCATGGCCACTCATATCAACATCAATGATTAATAAAATAAAATCAAATATCAAATGCCAATATCCAACAAGCACAAAGTTAATGGCCAAAAATATAAAATAAAATAAAAAGCAAAGCACAAAATTAATACTCACTTCATCCAAATATGTGATCCAAAACCAAAGTTTTCAACCGTTTGAGAAACAAGAAATTTAAATGTAAATAAAGACAAAAAAAAAATAAAAAAGAGAATTTTAAACTTTTAATTTTAATAAAAAGGTAGATTGCAATACTGCCAATACATCAAAGATGTAAATAGAATATAATATTATATTATAAGATAAATGATTATCTGATGAGATTTATGTACGTGTAATTTTATGTAAATAATTTATATTATTGATACATCGGATAATTTTTAATTATAATTATCTACCAAATACTCATTATTTAAATTTTAAAAATGTTTTAACTCTTAAAAAATTAATATGATTTTGAGTTAGATGTTAATAGTGATGGGATGTTTATATATATATATATATATTTAGAATCATTAAAAAAAAAATTGCTGTGACTAATTATTTTTTAGAATAAACACATCCAATTTTACTTTAAAATGTTTAATTTTTTGTGAGATGTGAATTGTATATATAAATTTTATATATGTTATAAACATTGGAGACTTTAATATAACTTTGTAAAAAATATTAATTTATGTTTATACATACGTATTTATATAGATATACTAAATCATGCATTACACAAGTGTATAATTCTATATTACCATTCACCTTTTTCTAAATTTCTGTATTTTATCGAAGCATAAATTGACATTTACGATCTATGAAAATCATTTTCACCATGCAATCAAAGATGATAGTTTATTAGAGATGATAAAATAACACATATCTAACGAACTTTGACTTATCCAAATTCAATATGATCATAAGTTTTATAAATCAAAGATTGAATCAGTTTTTTTTTATTTTTTTGAAGTTGAGTTTGGATCAAAGCTGAGTTTTAAGTGACACCGTTACAACTCAAATAGATATAAATTTTTATTTTTTATTTTTTTTATTTGATTTGATATTTATATATATTATATTATATTAATAAAATTATTATTTAATATTTTAATTTAAAATATTTATTTAATAAAATTATTATTTATGTATAATTAAAATATAATTTATATTAAAAATAATATTTTATAAATATTATATTAAATTAAAATTAATAAATTAATTTTAAATTAGATTGTGATTCATAAATATTCAAATTGAATCAGCCATAAAAAGTAATATTTTAATATGAAATGAATATAAATATTAAAAAATTATATCGAAGTTGAGAACAACGAAAACTGCCCGATCAGTTGCCGCCGTTTGTCCCTGGTCCTTCATCCAAATTAAGAGAATAGCTCAAAACATAAATCGACACCTCCTTCGGCTTTGTTCTTGTTGAACCACCGTATTAACATCTTACATTTCGGTTCAGCCACCAACTCCGACGATTCTCGAACCTTCTTCCACCCTCTGGTCCACCACGGCTCTTTGTGACTTGTATTCGATGAGGAGGCCGAGTTGGTATTGTCCGTCGTGATTCGTTGCCAATCTGATCTGACAGCGGAGAGACAAAGCATCCAAAAACAGCAGTTTCCGTTCGAGAACTTGAGAATCATGTCATGCAGTTCAGTCTAGCCTTTCAACCCACCTATAGAAATCATGTCTGGTTTTGCTCTTCAAAATTTGTGTGGCATCCACATTGATTACAAGATGTCCAAAATGCTACAGCAGCAACTTGATTCTCTTGATTTCAAGGTCAAACAGAGAGAAATATATTACATCTCGGATATTATGTGTGAGGAGTATTTTAGTGTTCAAATGGCGAATTGTATCTATTCCTTTAAAATATAGGTTTTGAGGGTTATTCTAGTAGTCAGAGGGTAAAATAGATTTTTTCTTTAAAATATAAGTTTGCTGATGAGTGAGAGTATTATGATCATATCGATTGTATTGATGTGTCAAATCAACCCAAGTCCATGTCAGTTCGCTATCTCAACAGCTTCCTTGCCAGCATATAAAAGTACTAACTTATCATCGCTTGAGTAAACAATCAATTGCCAATTCAGTTGGAACCAACGTGGTTAGCTCTAACCTTTTTACATCAACCTTGATCCACTTAGACCCAAAGTCCCAATCACACAAGTATATGTAATTCTATCCAAGTATGTCTCAACCAACCCGAGTCCATGTCAGTTCGCTATCTCAACTGCCAATTCAACTCAAGTCAGCCCTAGCCCTTTTACACCGACCATGAGCCACCATACCCAAAGTCCTAATCACACAAGTAGTTCTATCCAAGTATCTCTAAAAGCATTGAGAACTCTCGACTTTCAAGCCTACATTTCACTTTACTCTCACCGATTTAAGCATCGGAGTATAAATGTCGAAAAAATTCCTGACCTTTATCATTGATCGATCTCTCTTTTTCGTGTTTTTAGGGTTTTATCCTTACGAACAACTCGCACATACATTAACATATATCCTAAAAAAGGAGAATCAAATGAAAAAACTGTTAAACTTTCATAATCCCATTTTCGTAGCATATACATATGAACTCGAAAGATCTTCGTTTGCTGTCATTTGATTAATAAGCTGCAGCAGATGGTCAATAGCCATGGGAGTAATCCATGAAATTCAAACGAGGTCGAAGGTTGTGGTGATTATGGATAGGATCCGCATAGTCTACAGCCTTTATCACCACAGCTTCGCGCCTTCCATCTTGTTCTTGAACTGCCCCGAAAACGATCTCATTTGTCTCACAGCTCTTCTCATAATAAGTTTGTGGGTTGGATGAATAATGCTTGTGCGGATGCTGCTGCTGCTGCATCTGCATCTGCATCTGCATTTGCTGCTGTTGCTGATAGTTAGCATCCCATCCATTATAGTAAGAACGGCTTTGCTTGATGTGGTATTTTCTTTCAAGGTCCTTGGTCATAAATGGGTAACTCCTTTTGGGTGTTGGCGTTCTAGTATCCAAGGAAGGTGGCTTATCTTTATCAGGGATCACAAAGCTTTCTTGCATAGGCCATCCTCTCGAATGCATGGTTGATTGCTGGTATTGATGTTGAAACTGATAATGACGAGGCTTCCTTCCGAAGACCGAAAATAATCCCCCAAATATTTCAGCCACAGATGAGCTGGTGTTCAGGACAAGCCTACCAATAGAACCAATGAAACCGTCTCCTGCTTTTTCAGGTTCATCCTCGGCTGGAATTAAGGGAGGCCTGACTGATTTAGGAGGCCTCTGATATGGTGCCATAGTTGCTCCTCCCTTCATTGGAGCTTTTGAGTCCTATGGAGATTGGAACTTGCTTGGTCATATCATGTAAAATTCAGAAAATTGGAACTTTATGGAACTTTATGATAATGCGTATGTATCAGAACAATTCCATAACATTCATATTGACACTGAAATTACTTCATCCAGAGAAAATCAATTATAATGAATCATATTATATTCCCCTTTGAATGCATAAGAAAAGAAGAAGAACTCTGACCTTCCATCCATTTGCAGCGCAATTAGCTAAATTGAAAAGCATTACATAAGGCATCTAAAGTGTTTTGAAGAGTAATGGATGGGAAACTCTCTGATAAACAATCAATGAACGATTAGAAATCGAAGAAAAACATAAAACATCAGATCACTTACATCATGGGAAGAGAACATTGCTTGTACCCTTCGCTGCAGCAATGCCAGCGTGTAACCAAAGAAGCCAGCAGCAACAAGCACTGCTATACCTACAATGATGAACCCATATCTGAAAGATTTTCATAATCTTGAAAGAAAATGGTGTTAACCATAGTTCAAGAGAGTTGTACCTAAATGAAAACTGCCATCATACTGATGGGAACAATCATCATCATTGAGCTGAATCTCCCGAATTGCCTGGTTTCCTCTATCTATAACCAAAAGAGAGCAGCTACTCCCAATGTAAACCACATCAAAATCATTTGAAAATTTTGCATCTTCACTTGGACCATCGACATGGCCTCCTATTTGGTTCCATTTTCCTCCTCCAGCAATAGTTGTAACCCCTGCATAAAGATAGAAAATAATTTCAGCTAAGAGGTTGTGTTAGAATAGCAAATACTTTTCAAGGAACTTGAACCTATAAAAATTTTAGTAAGATAGCTGTTTAAGGATGGTATTTTGTGGAAAATGTTCTTCCTCTTATCTAACCACAACAGCTGTAAGACTGATTAAAAGGGAAGTACATTCTTTAATTATCAGAAATGCCTTGAACATTGCCGAATCACCTGATTCACTGATCTTCCTGATAGCCATATTCATTGTGTCTGCAATATATACATTTCCACTGTGATCCACCGTAAGCCCTTTTGGATGATCCATTCTAGCTTCTCTTGGTTTCCCATCTACATGCCCGGAGTACCCTTCAGATGATCCAGCAACAAACTTAGGTCTGCTATCTGCAATTATCCATCAATGTCAGCAAATGAAAGAATGATAAGTTATATGGAAAATATTCAACTTCGAAGTTTAGCTGAGTTGGTTCGTGTAGCCATCCTTAAGAGGTAATACCCAGCAGTTTTGAGGCTAAAATCTCAATACTGACAATCTTTCTTGTATTCTAGGTGGAGGCCTTCTTTGAAAAAAAAAAAAGCTCAAAGGTCTCCACACATCAGTCAAATATTGAGTTTTCAAAAAGTGAAAGTACATATATAAGGCATAGATCATGTATTAAAAAGATGAAGGACTGGAACATGAGTAAATTAGAATCTAAGTGTCCAATAGAGAATGTGGGCTTTGAATAAAAATAGAAAGAAAAAAGACTAAATCTGAAAAAATGTCACTGGGTAGGCAGCAAACAGCACTAAAAGGTCTAACTGTCCTTTTCAAAGTAGAGTCTTCTCCCAAACAAAAGTACATCAAACTCATTCATAACCTTGTTTAAGTAATGTGATAAGAATACACCAACAACTTATACAGAAAGAAATAAATAAAATAAAAATTCCTCCTAGAACAAACTTGATCAAAAGAGCCAAACTTTCAAGTTTCAACAAGAAAATTTTAACGTGCAGACACAAATCTTCTCCTCAAAAGAAGAGAAAAGAAACACAACTCTTAAACCCCAAAAAAATGGTTTCTTCAAAATTAATTTACATCTAGACAATGGCATTGAGATCTTGTAAATGTTGCTATTTTCAGAATCCAACACCAAGAGCTCTCCACTTGGGGAAACTTCAACAGAAAATGGCTCAATCCCAAGTTTGCTTCCATCAAAAACCGTTTCCACAGTGTATCCACCTTCAAATTTCATCACGGAACGGCTAGAAACAGCTAAAAAAAAAAAAACAAATCCCATTAGCCCAAAAAACCAAGCTTTAGACTCCATGGAAAGATACTAGAAAAAAAAAAAGCAGAGGAAAATAGGAAACAGAATGAAACTTGAAGTTACCAGTTTTGGGTTCTGATTTTAGTGACCATAGCCATTTAACAAGACCAGACACCACATTTGAGACAACTGAAGTTACAATTTCTGCTAAAACATCAAAATACAAAGCAATTTTTTTTTTAAATGTTAAACAAATACAAACTAAAAAAAAGAAAAATTTTGAAAACTTTATTTAGACTTACTTGCAGGTGGGATGGCAGAAACTGAAGAAAACCCACCAAAGAAAACCAAACAAACGAGAGTAAAAATTACCCAATTCCTCACCATTGCTTAAGTTTCTTAGTTTAACATGGAAAACTAAGAAGAAGAGAAAAAAGTTGTTCAAGCATGAAAGATTTGAGCTTTGTTAAAAAAAAAATTTGTTGCTTTATATATGTATACACACACACACACACTCATATAGTTCCTTAAGGAGGAGACGCACAAAAATATTGTTTTGCTTTGCCAACTTTTTTTCCTTTAACATATTGCTCAGTATCAGCCTTTTGAAAGAGACAGAGGGAGAGTGATTATGGGAAGGGTTTAAATACCAAACAGAAGGGGAGCTCTGTTTGAGAAAAGAAAGTGATGGCAAAATAAAGAGAAGGAAGCCTTATAGTCTCTAAGACCAGACAGTGAATGCCAGTTAAACAAGGAATCATATTCTCTGGTTTTGTCTTTATTTTTTTTTTATTTTAATTGATCTCAATTCATGTGACACAATAACTTTTAATTTTTTACGTGACACAAATTATAAAAATGGTCATACTGCGACATTTTAATTTCACATTGAAACGTAATAAGTATTATATTAAGTAAATATTTAAATTTATATCTATAAGATATTTTTTTTGAAATAAAATTATAAAATTTTTTAATCAAAATAAATAATAAAATAAATAATATCCCTAGATTAGATGTAGGTCTTCACACATTAATACGAAATCATGAATGTTTGATTTATTTTAAGAATTTAAATATTTTATGATAGATTAAAAAATCAATTCTAGACCAATGAAGTACTATATCTTCTCTACAAAGCTAGCATTAGTCTAATTCTGGTTACTGTTTGTTTCCATTTTGTTAAAACCCACCCCTTTGTTCAACTTGATTCTGTGGGATAAAGAAATGAAAACTTGACCATTTCTTTTTTACAAACTTCCAAGGTAAAGATGCCTTAGTTTTTTGGTAATTGAGACTGCTAAGAATGCCTTAATAATGCTTTGCTTGTGATGTTAAAAGTCTTAACTGACTTTCCCCTTTGTTTTTACTCTTCACTTTGTGGTAGCTGCCATGTGCTTTGGGGGTGGATAGAAACTTATGGTATCTGCCAATATGGAATCAAATTCAGTATGTCTCTCTCTTTTGTGGGGAACGTTTGCTTTCTTGTTCCTTAGAATTCTGTTCTTTGGAAAGAGGATTTGTTTAGCTTCTTTCTTTTGATAAGGTTGAGTATTAGCAATGTTATTGATAAGATGCTTATGGCAATGATGATTCAAGAGAATCAATAATTTTGCCTATGAAAGTATAGTCTTATGATGAAAACCCAAATCCCAATTTTCATCTTTAGCTTGTTCAAGTTGCTGAATTATATAAATCAGGAAAAATCAAGTAATTCAATGAAAAACAGCATCAGATCAGGAGCAAGCTACAATGTTCACAACATTGTACATCAAACTAGGACTTAGCATGAAACTGCAGGCATTTTTTGAAGGTCTTATTCTTCGTACAAACCAACAATCTTAAGAGCTTAGTATAAAGTGTTTGGTTGTGTTTGAAATACAAAATGTGTCACACCCCGAGATCGAGATATAATATAATTATATTATTTTGAAGTAAAATCCTAAAGCAATACGAAACCTAATTTATAATTATTGAACAACTCTCAAATATAATAAGGTTCTCATTAAGTAAAATAACTAAATAACAAGTCTCCAAAGGTTCAAAGTCGAGTATTACAACTAAAAAAATAATACTTCATAAAATTTTAATTTTTAAGTAGTTCTTCAATGCTCGATTCTTCTAGCTCCTCTCAAGACTAATCATACTTATCATTCATAACATCTGTGAAAGAAAAAAAATAAGAAATGAGCAAACTACAACTCAGTAAGTAATTGCTCACATACCTTATCGGAATCAAACATCATTTTCATACGTACTATATAGATCATTTTCAAAAACATTTATCAACTCAAAATGTCAAAAATAGTTCAAAAATTAGCATTCTATTAAGCATTCATAGATCATAAATCAGTATCAAAATATGTCACCAAATCATGGATCAATTTATAAAAATCATTCATCATAAATCATCATTATCATTCATTTATCATTAAATACGATCACTTTTATAACCCGTGACATTGGCCACATCGATAATTTCATCCTCATGATCATTGCTAACCATTATAACCCGTTAGCCAAGGCTCTACGCTAACTACTATAACCTATTAGCAAGGCTGTATAATCATGTCTTTGCAGTCGTAGAACTGTTATGCTATCGATGATCTCACTTTCAGAGATGTAAAAATGTAGCTATCATAAAATCATTCTTTAAACATAAGTTATTTTATCATTTCATTCATAAGCATGATCCATCATATATATAGCAAAAACACAAAATAATTATATGTTTGATCTTATTCATACATCAAAAATAATGAAATCAAGCCTTCATTCATTTAAAAATATACATATATACATAGATTCAAAAATAAAAAAAATATGTGAGATTCTACTTACCTCCTTTCGATTCCACCACCTAATTTTTCTCCCCAAATAATTAAATACCTATTTAAGATAATTTCAACATAACAGTAATTAATCAACCTATTTAAGACCACTTATACCAAAACAATAAAGTTAAGCAAGAAATAACTCGAGTAACTAATTCTGACATCCTACGCTACTTTCACTAAAATGACTATATTTCAAGATATCCAATTTGGAATTAAAATCTTTTTTATGCGTTAGAAACTAGACTCGACAAGCCTTCTAACCATATATGGCTCATCTCTTGATTCCTTGTGGATTAATTATAATAATTTTTGAAATCCACGTCATATGCTGCTGCCAGACAGCCTGTATACCTTTTAATAAAATTTAGGTATTTATTCATAGAAAACTCCAAATTCGATTTGCTTCTTTCGTTGGAAAGTAGACTCAATAAGTTTTCCAAAAATATATGACTTAATCAGTAAATCCTTGCATAAAAATTAAGAGGAATTTCGTAATTCCTCCCACTGTTGTTACTAGGCAGCCTGCACATCCTTAGGTAAAAATTAGATAACTTTTCATAGAAAACTTGAATTCGACTCCTGTTTGTTTCATTAGAAAGTAGATTTAACATGCTTTCTAACGATATATAATAATCATAGAAATATTTAATCCTTTAATACAGAATATAATCTTCATCCATCACTGTAAACACAGGGTTCATATCAGGATTCAAAGGAAACAAAAATTTTATTTTTTTATTCCCATCAAATTTTTGTTTCAGCAATAAAATCACATTACCAATTTTCTCAACACTTAATTTAACCCTAATCAAAGCCTAAATTATTTGCCTGAAGAGGGATAGTGGAAACCCTAAAATTTTAGGATTTCTCAATTATAATTTACACATCAAGACTTAGCAATCAATACTCCAAAATTGAAAAAAATTATTTACTCACCTCTGATAGATAATTCTTCTTGTAGATTTGTTCTTTCCCTTCATTTGGAATCCTTTGATTTATCTTTTCTGTATAAGAAACAGAGGAAAAATAAGTTTATATTTTTTTTCGATTAATCATCGATGAAAAATTGAATAAGTTAACCTTATTAATAAAAAAATTACATTATTTATCAATAGGTCCTCTGCATTTCTCAATCTTTATTAAAGAGTCCCCCCACTTATAAAAATACTTAAAATAGTACCCCTTTTTTTTTTTTTACGGATATTACATTCTTCCTAACTTATAAAAAGTTTCATCCTTGAAACTTGATATACTTTCATTTTCGAATAACTGAGGATGTCGTTTCTTCATATCATCTTTCATTTCCCAAGTTGTTTATCTTGGTGTATGATTACTCCATTGAACTTTTATAAAGGAAATAGTTCTATACCTTAAGACTTGCTCTTTTCAATCAATTATTCGAATAAGATATTTCAAGTATGTTAAATCTTCTTGAACTTCCAAAAGTTCATACTCTACCACATGGCTTGGGTTAGAGACATATTTTCTCCATGGACACATAAAAAACATTGTGCACACTAGATAATTGAGGTGGCAAGGCAATATATATGCAACTTCTCCCACCTTATCAAGAATTTCAAATGGTCTTATATAACGTAGGTTTAAATTTTCTTGCTTCCTAAACTACATAACATTTTTTATAGGTGACACTTTAAAAAGACATAATCCTCTTGTTAAAATTTTAACTCCCTTCTCTTTTTATCTGCCTAACTCTTTTGATGATCTTGTGTTGCTTTAAGTCTCTCTTTAATCACCTTGATCTTTTCTACAGTCAGTTGCACTATTTTTGACCCCAGAAGTTTTTTCTCCCCAACATCATCCCAACATAAAATGGATTTACATTTTTTACAATACAAGGCTTCAAAAGAACCAACTCAATGCTGGATTGGTAACTGTTATTATAAGTGAACTCTGATAAAGGTAAGTAATCATCTCAACTACTTTTTAGATCAATCACACATGTTTGAAGCATATCTTTCAGAATCTGATTCGTTCTCTCCATTTGTCCATCCGTCTTAGGGTGAAAGGCTATACTCAATTTTAAATTTATCCCTATAGCTCACTGCAAGTTTACGCAAAACTTAGAGACAAATCTAGAATCTCTATCTAACACAATACTCACTAGAACTCTATGCAATCAAATAATTTCATTCATGTACAATTGTGCTAGTTTATCAAGTGGAGTAGTCAACTTGATAGGTAAAAAATAGGCTGATTTAGTGAGTCTATCAACAATTACCCACACTGCATTATTCTCTTTAGATGACCTAGGCAATCCCATTATGAAATCCATAGAGATGTGCTTTCACTTTCATTTCAGTATCTCCAAAAGTTACAACAACCCTGATGATCTTTGGTGTTCAGCTTTAACTTGCTGACACACTAGACATTAGGTCACAAACTAAGCTATGTCATGTTTCATGTTATTCCACCAAAAACTTTCTTTTAAATCTTTATACATCTTAATGCCTCCAAGGTGTATAGTGAATTAAGACCCATGTGCTTCCTCTAAGATATCTCATTTTAGCTCAAGATCATTTAGTACACACAATCTGTTCCTAAAATTTAATGTGCC